TCTAAAGTTTAATTTTATAGCTAATTTGATTGTTTAATTTATTTGAATAATATAAAATTAAAGAAAAACGATGGAGGATATATAAACTGTTATCAAATATTGATTTTTAGAATCATTAAGTGTCATATATATATATATATATTAGTCATTTATGGTAATTCCGTAGGTTTTATTTATGGAAAGAAAATAAAATAGTAATTATATCTAGGGGAACAATCATAAATGCTTCTATCATAAATATCATTTCATATTATCATATCATATAATTTAACCAACGAATGTATTTAGCGACATATAAAAATCGAATGTAAACCTACTTATTTTTCAATTGAATATAATTAACTACCTAATTGAATGACACATAAACATGAGGTATTTTTTAATTACTACAAAATTGAGGCTACAATTTTTTAAATGTTTCTCCCGTAATATATAAGGGATTGATATTACCAATGATCTTATATGACCCCAAAAAGTAAAACGACCTTATAATGGTATTCAGCTGTTTAAAGATTTTTATTAAATATATATGCTCGACCTTATAATTGTAGCTCAGGGTTCGATGTCCTTGATGCGCAAATAGTATTTCTGTTCTTTCCGTTATTGATCTGTTCTTTTAGTTTTATGTTTTGTTTGTGACATCGATAGTACTCACAGCTATTACGATCTTTCTCCGTTTAACTGTTAGTACGTATATATGTCAATGCGAAGGAATAAAATGACCTTATATTTTTTTATATACAGAGCATTAGCCTTAGAGATTTCGTATTTTTGTCATCATATCCCAAATTATTTGACCCAAGAAAATAAAACGACCTAATAATTGTTTAGATAAGCTGTTTAAAGATTTTATTAAATATATATGTTCGAGGTTGAAAAATGATAAACAAAATATGTAAAATATGAAAGTATTATATTACAATTTCGGATTACCTGCTAATCGCTATTATAGTACTGTACGTATTATTATTATTATTATTATTTTGGTAAACATGTTAAAGAACTGTACATATTATTATTCTGAAATCCTAATGCTTGCATTAATTAGAATAATTAAGAAGTTCAGTAAATTATAGTGTCTGTAATTTGGTAAAGCGTTCAATTAATTTGATAGAAATCCTACTAATCAGCTATATATTTGAGTGTACAGAACATTAAACTAACTCACTTTTAAACATTGTAACTGAACATTACAAATGTTCGACAAAAAAACATTGTAATTAAGTGAACTTTTGGTTTAACTGATCATCTCATGGAACTACATATTCACTTTAACAAAACTCCCTTGTGTTTTTAACAAAGCCACAACACTCTTTATTTAATATTCAATATAACAGAAAATAAGGACTATATGTTAATAAATAAGATGATAATAGTTAATTCATGGTTTAGTATATATAATGAAAACTAGTCTCCCTTTCACGAAGCGTTTCCGAACGGTATTGTACACTGATCTCATCTTCAAACAAAATGTCAGAATAGGATACGTACACTCATATATATAGATATTAGTACATGTGCTTATAGGCTAATTTATATTTATATATATATATATATATATATATAGAGAGAGAGAGAGAGAGAGAGAGATAATCGTGTGTTGATTCAAGGTTTCCCTCCGGGCCTTCTTCTTGGGTCATGCTTGGGGTTGGCGCCTGCGTCGTCATAGTCCGAGGTCGAGTGGAACATCAACTTCCTGTGGCTCGAGATCTTCTTCACTTCCATCTCCTCACTCTATATATTTTTTAAACCATATATACAGATATTATGATCAATCTCTTGATACAAAACAACATTCCTAAAAATTATTTGCGTAAATAATACATTACCTTGTAAAGCTTGAAATTTTCATGCATCTTTGCGCCTTCGAGCTGGATAGAGCCTTTCACTATAGCAAAAAGAGAAAAAAAAATGTATCAGAGGATTATACGACATTCTCTTTCTAAATAATCTATATAATCAAAACAGATTGGTATATTGCAACACAAACAAGTTATGTAAGATGTGTTTTCGTATTCTACATAATCTCCACCAATCCAATGCATGGTAATCTGGTAATGGTGGTTTTAAGGCTAGTAGTCTACAATATCTAAGCATCAGTTTCAACAATGAAGAATAGAGGAAATGTACGACGAGTTACATCTAAAGCTGATCTCGGACTAGGGTATGGGTTCAAAAAAGATGAAGCTTCGTACATTTACCTAATGATGAAGAGCAAACAATGAGTATGAGAAAGAGGATAGGTACGGGTTTGATTCTAAGAGGCATATTATATTGTTAATTACTCTTTGTTCGTTTAGGGAAGAAGGTAATTACTAATTAAAGGGAAATGAGGAGAAATGGGTTTTGATATAGAGATGAGTGGAGAAACCTAGTTTCCATTTTATAAACGATCAGTTTTATGTGGTGGAAACTATTTTGGTCCATATAGAATATGGTCGTGCTAGCGATGATGATGACCATGACTTAGATGGTTGCTTCTGTGTATGATAATGAAAATATGTTAAGTCCTTATCAAAGTAACTTTATAAAAATAAAGAATATCACGTAAACATCGACATTTATTTATTATCACGGATGTGGCAGCCCAACTTTTTTAAGTGTAGACGTTGGTGCTGTTGTACTCTTGGATTCCATCAACTGTGGGAGAGGTACTTTATGCCATTAATGATATTAGTAAAGGCTGATTCCAGACCTAATGGAGATTAAGACCAAGGCCCAAATTTCTTTGGAAATTCAAAAGAAAAAAAAAACATCGACATTTATTGTTTATTGTAACACAACCACACAAAAAGTTCAAAACAGTGGCAGGACTAACATCAAGATGATAATATCGTAGCAATAATTTTTATTTTTTATTTTTGATTTTTTGATTTTTATGTAACAGAATTATGACATTAAATCAAATGATACTGGGATAATGCAATGAACCCAAGCCCTTTATCAAAAAAAAAGATAATGCAATGAATCCACAAACCTTAGAAAAGCTAAAGAAAGTCAGCTCAGCTGCTGATTGTGTTACGTTTTCTTTAAAAGGATTTAAAGAGCATCTCCATTAGTGAATCCAAGGGGGTTTTTTTATTTATTTTTTTCTCTAAAAAAAACAAAAAATTAGACGAATCATGGTTCGCCACGTGGCGAATCCGTGATGAACCAGTATCACCACAGCAAACTCAAGTGAAGTAGGTTCACTACTATTTGTCTCGTAAACCGTGTGAACCCCTCCGTTGAACCTTTAATAAACTCCTAATGGAGATGGTCTAACGCTTACCATATTTATGCTTGTGGACAGACATATTAAATAGAAATCCTCAGTTCAAAAAAAAAACAAGTATATTAAGTATTAGCCCCACTATTTTTTGCATCACACTGCTCAAAATTTCGATGTTTAATATTTAGTTTCTAGTTTGTATTGTCATTTTTTTTTTTAAAGTTTGTATTGTCTTGTAACAATGACAATTTCACTATATAAACTTAATGTTCTACTCTTTTATATTTAATGTTTAACATAAATGAGAACAACTTCATCTTATTCCTTATTTTATCAACACTATCCTCTTCCTTTTTACTTATTTTACAATTTTGGAAATAATTTTAACTAATCAATCAGTTTATTCGTATATCAAAGTTCTGTTTATTCTAGACGAATCTAAACTATTATAGTCAGAAGACTCAGAACCAATAACTTTCTCTAAGAAAATTGAGTTTCATTTTCTCAAAAAAAAAAAAAAATTGAGTTTCATTAAATTCATTTGGTTCCATCGAATTTTACCCATGTTTTTAACTTGTAAGCCCATTGGTTTCACCACTTTCTCCCCATACAGCTGCAATGTATTATAGTTGTGCACTACGTGAGCTCATATATCAAGTTTACTTAATTATCGTAACCATTGAAATTGCAGTCTGCTGCTAAAGATAATTGGGTCCATTATCAAAATGTATGATGGGGAATATGGAATCATACCAAACTCGTACGTAACTATTGTTAGTTTTCTTGCTGTTAATAATTCATTACGAAAGTGAAATTATATACCAAGCGGGTACAGTAATTTTCAAGTAAAGACTACTATTGCAATCATTGATTTACAGGTTCATTTATCAATACCTGACTAAAAAATTACGCATATTGAATGATATGACTTTAAAAAATATATATGTATATATATATGTAGCAGCGAAAGTAAAATCTACAATGATATAAATTTTTATTTGGTAACATGTAAACAAAAACCTATAATCATGGTATTGCTTGACAGATTATGAAAAGTAAACTATTTTAAAGTAAATACTTATCAATTCATAAAATGTTTGGGAAGATTTTAAAATCCGTAGGTACCAAACAATAGATTATAAGATATATATAAAGAGAACTAGTGGAACTAATTCTTCCATTTCGGCCTTCACAACTTTATAAGAAGTCAACTTAAGATTGAGACAGACATAGCGAGTGGCCTGCAAGTTTATCACTTATCAGTGAAGTGGATCTTTTAATTAAAGTGACCCAGTATAGTGTGAGACCACTATATCCGATCCCCGAAATCTTATTTTGAAATTAAGATCTTGTCTCCATATTACTATGTATTTTGATCTAATATCCACAGTTCTACTTAACGCTTGAAATTTTTAAGATCTAAGCATATCTTAAAACGTTTTGATTGCCATAAGAAACACATTAACATGTATGCTTAACGTACGACTGACTTGCTATAGTCTTTGACTGATTGATCACAACTTACAACCAATGCTCTTTAACCGCCTGATAAATGTTTGTAATACTTAACAGTTCTCTTGACTAGGTATAGCTCTTTTGTCGCAGCCACAGAGATTATGCAATTATAGGTTATGTATGACTTTTCAAAAAAAGAAATGGAAATAAGGAAAAACATGACATAAAATCAGTGTCGATATTGTTATGTTGTGTTTAAATGTAGTGATGAGTTTATAAGTAGCGGCTAAATTTAAAACGGCATTATCATCATACGAAAAAGAAGAATCAATCACACGGATGTGATATAGTGGTAGGCAGACAACAAGGAGATCCGGGTTCCAAGCAACCCCACGACACTAAATCTTTGCAGTCATGCTGTTAGATGAGTTTTCATCTATGAGTAGCATCACTTTTTTGGAAATTAGTTTGATTTTTTTACGGATTAGATAGGTCTAGGCATTTTATCCAGACTCAAAGAGCCGACCCGAAAAAACTCGGTTCGGATAGGAATCGGTCCGATCAAATTATCCTATCGAGTCTTGTTATAGAGGACCCGCAGATCTTGGATCCGACCTGATCCAAACTCGAAACCCGTTGGTACCCAAATTAATAATCTAAATTAAATAAAATATATTGAGGGGGAGTCGAAGATGGATTATTTCTCTAGAGAGTAAGGGGATCAACCACTAAGAGACAAAAAATTGATGTTGTATCTCACATAGTTTAATATATATATACCCATTTTAATATAATATAAACACAAATTTTGAATATTTCCGGATATAAAAATATTTTCAGATATTGTTTTTTTGTATATTTAGTTATTTTTTAGGTTGAATCCGAACCGAACCCGATCTGGAACCGAACCGAATTAGAATCAATAAATTCTAGTTATCCGAATGGGTCCAACTATCTAAGACCCGACCCGATCCGATACGACCGGAACCGATCTAAAAACGAGAATTTGAAATTACCCTATCAGATCCTAAAATCCTAAACCCAAAAGATCCGGATCCGAAAGGATCCGACCTGAACCCGACCCGACTACCCGAATAGCCATGCCTAGATCCGATATTCCCAAAGTTAAAAAAAACAATGTTTTTGTTGAGCAAGCGTTAACATAGGTGTCTTTACTCAGGGTCGGTCTTGAGAATTAAGAGGTATAAGATGATTTTTTAACGATTTCAACTGTTTTTTTATAATAGATTTGGAGGTCTATAATTTTTTTTTGGGGGGGGGGGGAGGGGTGATTTTCTTAAAAACAATTTAGGAATCCAATACTAATATTTCATCCGGCTTAACCCAAAACCAGTCTTATTTTTACTATCTGAGTTGTCTAATGCCGTTTAGCGATAAAAGTTAGTTTAGACTTCATTGGATATCTGATGCTAAAAAGAAATAATTGAGATAAGTCAATACCAATTACATGTGGTGTGTAACATCAGATATGTGGTGTGTAATGCAAGATATCAAACATCTAAAGAATATTAAACATAAATTATCGATTATTTTTTATACAAATTCTGTTAGGAGTTAAGTTGCTACTGTTTGACCAGACAAAAATAGAACCATATCTTATTGAAAAACATGAAATCTAACTAATCGTTGACATTTTTTTTTTAAACACTAATCTAACTAATCGTTGACATTATTCCCCAAAAAAATTGATTAGGTTCCGATCTAAATACTTCTGGTTAATAAAAAAAATTTAAAAATATAACGAAAAGGCCTGGTACAAAATCACAAACATAAAATAAACCACATTTATCACTGTTTTGTTGCCTTTCTGATTGATTGTTATAAGCTGACTTTCTAGCATATATAAATAAAACCATTAGTGTTTGAAAAAAAAATAAAAAAAATAAACCATTTATCCCTGTTTAATTGCCTTTATATTTGACTATTACAAGCTGACTTTCTAAAACATTTTTCAAGACAGTAATAGTGTCTCAAATTTTCTCAATTACTTAATGATGTTATAATGTCTAATCGCTATTCAAATTCTCTCAAGCAATACTTTTTGGTTGCAGGACAAAAGAAGTTGCAGCAATAATGGAGTAGTGGGAACAATAACTTGATGTTGGTTAAATAGGGTTGTAACCCAGAAATTTATGAATTATATATTTAGATAATAATTGAATCGCGTATGAGGTCATTTTTTTAAAAAAGTATTTCAACGCTATTCTAAACCTTTGGGTTACACGAAATTTCTTTGTATGATAAAACAATCAAAGTCTCACTCTTGTTCTAGGTTAAGATATAAGAGAAACAAAAAGAAGTTTTAGTGTTTATATGTGTTCTTCAAAGATCTTTGATGATCTTTGAACAATAAATCTATTTCTCTCTTACTCTCTTACTAAATATTTGTTTTTGATTTTTTTTTCTATGTCATTTGCTTATGCCTGCATCTCTTTAGATAGAAAATGAAAGGTTGCAACCAATAATTGCAATGGTTAAAACAAAGAGTTGCAAAGGTTAATAAAGAGTTGCAATGGTTAGTTAAGGAGTTGCAATGGTTAATCACCAAGGGTTGCAATCATAAAGGTAGTTATTACCAAATATTGTAATTATCAATGGTTAATCACCAAGGGTTGAAATCATAAAGGTAGTTACTACCAAAGGTTACCATTATGT